TTGTCCGTCCAGTTCCCACCCCACCTTCCATCCACTTCCCACCCGGCTGTCCAGTTCCCACCCTGCAGCGAGCAGGGCCTCTGGGCCACACCAGGCTCAGACTGCCCGAGGCGCCCCCTCCCAGGGGTCAGGCTGGCTCTGGGAGACCCCAGCTTCCCAGGCTTCGGTGGCGAGCGGGCCGTGCGTGGGTGTGCGTGGGCGCCCTTGTGAGGGTGGCCGAGGAGGGAGTGGCTGCGGCCACAGTTGCAGCAGAGACAACTCGGCAGAGGCCGCCAGGTGGGGGAGACGGCTCTCCCGTCTGCTTTTTCTCCAACACCGTCTGCGCTTGCTTTTAGGGTGCCGGCCTGTCTGGCCGCTTCTGCTGCCCATCCCTCTCGCTGAGGACTGCCACCCCGTCGCCCTTCTGTCCAGCCTCCTTGCAGCTGGGCGTGCTGCGCCGTGGCTGATGGCTGTGGCTCTGACGCCACGTGTGTAAATAGGCCGTGGCTGTGGTAGGTGGGTGGGAGCCCAGGCTGCAGCAGGGGGTACCCGGCTGTGGCCTTTTGTGCCTCCAGATGGCTGTAGGGCTTCCCTTGTGTAGTTATGTGGGTCCTTGAATGATTTGGGGGAGGTGGTTCTGGCTCAGAATGATGCGGAAATGGTACAACCTGAAGCAGGGGCTAGACCGGGCCGGTGCCTTCCCCTCTCCCAGCTGCTGCTGGGCACAGGGGGGACCAGGGCACATCTGTGGGGTCCCCCATTACCCCCATTGCCACACAGTGTCCTTCTTGACCAGGGAAGGTAGAGGAGCCGCTTCCCAGGCCTGGAGGAGCAGCCAGGCCCCTGCTGATGTCCAGTGGGACACACCCCTGACCCCCCCCAGAGGGAGAGTATGGGGCTGGGTCCCTTCTGAGCCTGGAGTTGCAGGGACTCCGCTCTCTCTGGAAGCCAGGGCACCCAGGGCTGAGGCTCCTCAGGCCAGGGAGGCAGGGAGGGTGCCCTGTGGGGAGAGATGGAGCTTGCCCCCTTCTCTGACGCGTACCCCTCCGGGCCCCCTTCTCCCGGGGGTCCCCGTTTTGTACCCCCTGCACTGTTCCATATCTTAGTGTCTGAAGTTGACTGTGGATAAATCTTTAAGACACCCCCCCCCCAGTGTGTGTGTTTATAAACGCTGTTTATAGTGCAATAAAGGTGTTTCGGGAATGCGGGGGTGGAGGCTGGCTTGCCTGGCTGCTTAATAACGCGGGTGTTCTGCCGTGAACTCCAGGGAGGAGGTGCGGCGGATTCCAGATCAGTGAGGGCTCCCCACCGGCTTTCCGAGGTCTCTGGGGCAGCAGGCGGGGGCGGGAGCCCGGCCCCTGAGAAACCAGCACGGCCCGACTCGCCCCTCAGGACGGGACCACCCCCATATCCCTCAGGACGGGACCCCCCCACACACCCCTGAGGACGGGACCTCCCCCACACCCCTCAGGATGGGACCCCCCCCACACACCCCTGAGGACGGGACCTCCCCCACACCCCTCAGGATGGGACCCCCCCACACACACCCCTCAGCACGGGACCCCCCCTACACCCTTGAGGACAAGACCCTCCCGACACCCCTGAGGACGGGACCCCCCCCACACCCCTCAGGACGGGACCCCCCCCTCACGCCCCCTCAGGACAACCCCTGAGGGGTGTGTGGTCGTGTCACCGCGTGTGTGCTGGCATGTGCACGTGTAAGCACGTGAGCTGTGTGTGCATGTGTAACTGTGCTTGTGTGTGGCCATGTCATGTGTGTACATTTAAGCACGTGAGCTGTGTGTGTAACTGCTGGTGTGTGGCTGTGTCCCCGTGTGTGTGCTGGTGTGTGCACGTGTAAGCACATGAGGAGTGTATGCATACTTGTGTGTGCATGTTTGCTGGAATGTGCACGTGAAGGGAGGGCAGTGTATGCAGAACTGTGTGTGCTTGTCTGTGACTGCATGTGTGCTGGAATGTGCATGTAAACACGTGAGCTGTGTATGCATGTGTAACTGCTGTGTGGCTGTGTCACTGCATGTGTGCATGTGAACTGTGTATGTGTGTGTAACTATGTGGCTGTGTTCACTGCCTGTGTGGCGTGTACACATGTGAGCACATGAGCTGCATATGTGTAACTGCGCTTGTGTGTGCCTGTGTCCATGTGTGTGCTAGTGTGTGCATGTGTGAGCATGTGAGCTGTGTATGCATGTGTAACTGTGTGTGCCTGTGTGTAGCTGTGATCTGTGCTGTGTGCATGTGTAATCACGAGCTGTGTATGCATATGTAACTGTGCTTGCATGTGGCTGTGTTCACCGTGTGTGTGCTAGCATGTGCATGTGTGAGCACGAGAGCTGCGTATGCACATGCTAGCATGTGCATGTGTGCATGTGTAACTGTTTGTATGCGGCTGTGTTCACTGTGTGCTAGCGTGTGCACATGTGAGCACGTGATCTGCGTGTGCCTGTGTAACCGCTTCTGTGGCTGTGTCCCCACGTGTGTGCTGGCATGTGCGCGTGTCAGCATGTAAGCTGTGTGTGCGTAACTGTGTGTGCCTGTGTGTAGCTGTGTTGTGTGCTGATGTGTGCACGTGTAATCACGTGAGCTGTGTATGCATATGTAACTGCTTGCATGTGGCTGTTCACCGTGTGTGTGCTAGCATGTGCACATGTGAGTTGTGTATGCATGTATAACTGTGTCTGTGTTCACTGAGTGTGTGGTGTGTGCATGTGTGAGCACGTGAGCTGCGTATGCATGTGTAACTGCTAGTGTGGCTGTGCCGTGTGTGCTGTGCACACGTGTACATGCTGTGTACATGTGTACATGCTGTGTACATGAGCTGTGTACATGAGCTGTGTACATGAGCTGTGTACATGAGCTATGTGCATATGTAATTGTGCTTGTGTGTGGCTGTGTTTACTGTGTGTGTGCTGGCGTGTGCATGTGAGCTGGGTGTGCATGTGTAGCTGTGTGCTTGTGTGTCACCGCGTGTGTGTTGGTGTGTGCATGCGTGAGCACGTAAGCTGCGTGTGCATGTGTAACTGTGCTTCTGTGGCTGTGTCCCTGCGTGTGTGCTGGCATGCATGTGCACGTGTGAGCACGTAAGCTGCGTGTGCATGTGTAAC